CTAACTCTCTTTACTTCAGCCATCTGGATATCTGTGCTTTTCATATCTGTCCCAATTTTTTTTCCTCACATTCTTACATCATTAATTGATTTCTCTCTTCATGTTGTCGTCCTTCTCCCCTCATACATCTGTGCACTCTGCCTCATTATCACGCTCTGTTGTGCCGTACTTCAAATTTCATCCCAGTGTGTTGCCTCTTGCAATTCCTTTCAAATTTGAAATGCATACTGTATTTGCTTGACTTGAGTTAAACAATTGATTGACAAATCAATTTATAACAAAAGAACTACAGTATGCAAATCCATTTTAAAGAAGAGCATAGAAATCTGGCAAAAATGTATGATACCCAACATCTGTTTGAGACGATCCTGACTATAAAAAAGGTCATAAGAGATCACATTCAGCCACACCCTGCAGATCGCTCCGTGTATATTCCCCATGAACACAACTTTTTATCATGGATTTCTACAAAATATCTGCTATGCAACAACAATACAGTAATGTAGAAGATTATTATTAAAGCAACATCATCATAGTAAAGGAAATGACTGAAGTGAGCCAAGTGAAAGGTGTGTGGAGAGGTATTAAGACTCATGGCTATCATTAATAAAGCTAAACATTAATTGTAGGCACTGCATTAACAAACGCCCAGTGGCCTCATTAAAATAAAAGACGAGGCTGCGTTCTGTCATGCAGGGCTGAAGTGGTGCTGAGTGTGGCCTGGCTTTACAACCTGCTACATTAAGGGCACACTGGCTCCTGCATTCCCACGTTAAAATGGCATTTGAATTAATGTCGTGGGGTGTTGAATCATCCAATACAAACTGTATTTCCAAAGGGATACTATGCTGCACTGGTTATGGATTATAGGAAAGACGTATGTGTCTGGACTCATGATTTAGCACAGACATCTGCAAATCATTGAAACACTTATTGCACCCTCCCATTTAGTCTAAAATGAATCTTTCTTTTGGCATTGCATAGTACGTTAAATACGCTGTGTTTAAAAAAAGTTTAACTGCATTCCTGGAAATAAATTACATATTTGTTTACATTGCTGGTTGATCCAGGATTATCCTTGATTGAGGTAACAGTTTTATATACTCTGTAATTTATCACTAAATCACTCCCCCCCCCCTTCCTTTATCCCTTTAGGTTTTATCCTATTGTATAGTCAGCAACACTTGATCTATTTCCTCCAGCCAGTATCCCCTGCTTCTTTTATCGTACTACTCTCTCCTCTTTCCCCCTCTTCAGCCCTCTCTCTTTCTTCCCCCTTACTTGTACTATATCTCTCTCCTTATCAGTACTCCCATACTGTCTATTGCACTACATCTCATTGTAAAGGCAGAGCCATCTATAGGCTGCAGGTCATTGGTTGAAAAGGGGGGTGGGGAAGAAAAGAGAGTGATGGCGGGGGAGGGATTTCACAGAGGGAGCAAATATACAGTATGTTTGCAGAGACTTGGCTCTGATCAAAGCGACAGCAGCAATTGTCATATTGATGTCCCCGTATGACATCCAGTACATTCAAATTCACTGACAAAGCCCTTTAGCTGTAGTAGTAATTACGACAGGAGCTAATGAAAGAGTCAGGTGAAATGATTGTAGGCTTTAACAAGGGGGGCTGCTGTCAGTTTGTTTTCTCGTAAAGCTTGGCCATACAGTTCATTATCCTAAAGACCGTGTTTATTTCAGCAACCATGACAAGGTTATGAAATGACCAGTAACCTCGAAGGCGTTATTTCAAATCCAAATGACACTGTTTTCCTAAACCTAACTGAACAGATTTTTACCTAAATGTATTCAAAAAGTAATCACACCATTCTAAGACAACAAGATGTTTGTTTCTTTAAGTAGATGAAGATGATGTCCTGGCCAACAGGGTGTCAAATTACAAAACATACGGGTGTGCGTAGGGCCTGGCAAAAATTGTTTTTTGGTTTTTTTTTTTTCTAAATTATAGAACTTTGTATGGTGGACACACCTTTTCTGATGCAAAATAATGGTATGTATTGTATGTTAATGTGTACTAGTGCAATTAATTACTATACTACTAATTACCTACTATACTTATTCTTTGGCTTCATTGAGCTCTATCATTGTCCAAAAACTACTGTAAAAACATCCAACGAGTCCATGCAACATGGGAAGTGTAGTTCATTTTGATTGAAGTCAACCTGCAATGCCTTGTTGCCTTAATAGGTTCAAATGTACCAATTTTGCATTCATCCACAGCAAAAGTAAAAAGTCCCTAAAAAGTGTCTAATTACTATTGTTTCAGTCGCTACAGTTCCTTGTTGTTTTAGATGGTAAATGGCCGTTTCCATTGAAAAATGTTGAGCATGAAAATGTGCAGAGAATGTGCAGAGGGGAAAAGGAGAGGGCTAGGCAGTAGAATAAGAGCAATAGGAAGAAAGGGTGATGGAGGGAAGTGTGCTACGGTTGTAGAGACGAGGGAAAATGGCAAATTAGGGAAGGAAAAGAGAGCGGGAGAGCTTGCAAGTGTGCAAAGGAGACAGGCAGTAAGAGAGCGGGAAAGAGAGATGGTGAAGAGGCAGTCAGGCAAAGCAGTGCCGGAGAGGGAGGAAGTGTGTGAGAGTGTGTTAGAGAGAGAGAGAGAGAGGGGAGGGGGCGAGCAAACACGCTTTGCACGTGATTCAATCTGTTCACATGGCCTTGTATTACGCCGTTAGAAATACTTAATGTGAAGCCCTTCATGCTGCAAAAACCCTCACCTTTTATTTAGATTACATTTTACATAAAGGAGGTGATGAGGGGGTCTAAGAAGTAAGAGTGCTAAAGACCAAATATTTTATAAAAGCAACAAAAAAAAATGATCAGCGTGAATCTGTTAAAGGGAGTAATGTAGAGATATTACGAGAGCATGTTTCAGCTGTGTTGCCGTTCATCGGAAGCGAGCTGAAGCTGTCATCTGCTCTCTGAGTCCCTGTGTTATATAATGATGGATGGGCCTGTGCTGCTCTCCTCTTTCTCTCCTACAGAGGCATGAATCAAACCCAGGATGTGTCCTAAATATAACCCCCACACATGGACCCTGGTGAGTGAGTAGGCCAGCTGTAGCCCTACTCCAGCATTATTCCCACTCTGTCTCTGTACAGCAGCCCAGCTGCATGGGGATTTCATGGATGAGGGGGTACTGTAAATTAGGATTCCTGGATTGAGAGACAAGAATGAGAGGCCTCTGCATAATCTGAGCCTTGCTAAAGGGTGGAGTTTAGCTGCAGGTGTGGTGCTGAAACGGGTCCAACAATCTTTAAATGAAAAGCTATTATTTTAGTCGTATGCCTTTGCTTTCCCGAGGATACGTGGTGGGATGTGTTATGACTTTACTGCTGAGACAATATATCAGGTCATGTTAAGAAATGACAGGACGTGTCATGTCAGGGTGTCATGTTGAGGCCAGGTTTATGTTACCACTGAGTGTAGTTCAGCATCGATGTTGTGGTTAAACAACATCTATGCAGGGTTTTGTTTTTTTTATATGGACATTTGAGCCAAACTAATGTCCTTGTTAAAAGCTGCAGTTCTTACACATATAAAAGTCAAATATTACAAATTTTGTGTGTATAAGGAACAGCATAATTTAATGACATATCATTTAGTTTACAATTGTGGATGTTACAGCATTATACTTTTAAAGTAATAGTTAAAGTTATTTATTACTTCTGATTGATAACGAACTGGGCTCCATATTGAATATGTCTGTCGTGTGAGATTAGATCAGGGATGGGATCTGGTGTCATGTAATTGGGGTTAAAGCTGAAAGACTGACTTTTATTTCTGGCAAAAACGATGAATGACAGATTTTTTTATGTATTTGCACTGATGTAGCTTGAACACAAATAGTAGCATATAGAAGCAGCCAATCGAAAGCTAGGAATATCCTTAAATTATAAAAATGTAGAGAAACTTCCAGTTCTATTTTCTTCTGATGAACAAATAAAAATTTTGTTGGTAATTTAAATGGATATCATGTTTATAGCGCAATATAGTAAGCACCGATTGTGCAGGGTTTGGTTTGACATGCTGGGGTAAGGAATTGTATAGTAAGTAATGAGTAACTCGTTAAAAAACTGTCTGTGTGTCAGTCTCCTCTACGTCATTAGCGGGAAACGTTGGCGTTGCTGATGCTGATAGTACCAGCACTACACACACATCATCAAACACACGCCAACATAGCCAGGCAAGCCCCTTCACGTACGAGCACACACACTCACGCTCACATGCACACACACATCCAGCATCCAGCATCCATCCCTCGCCCATGCGGAAACAAGGCGCTTTAAGCCCCTGAATGCATCACATCTTCATCTTAAACGACATTCAACGTCGTCAAGTCGTGTTTTATACTTGACGCTTTGACATTTTTCAGCTTTTAAACGATAATCGAGAAAAACCCAACAGCTTGGTTGTGGATTTTCGAGGCTGTCAAAGACATGCCCTCAACACACTACGCCAAAGCACAACCCGAGCAGGAGGAAGAGGAAATACTATGACAGCACCTGACTCTACGGCATAAAATCACCAAACAGCAGCCCTGATAACAAACATAACAGATGTTACAGGGGCATGGTGTCTGCAAGCTACTTTAAAATGCAATGTCAAACATTTTGTGGGGAAGAGAAGCATTTTAAATGAGCCACTGAGGCTCGACGGTGAAGCGTGTAGCGTTTCAGCACCATGGACAGCTCCCGGGTTTTTTTGTTTTTTTTCATTTCAGCATCTGAGATTGATGCGGGATGTCTCTCCTCTCCTCTTAATAACACATAAGAAGAGGCTCATATGTCCTTAAAATCATGCACGAAACAGGGAAACATATCGTAAAACACTGCCAATCTAATTCCTGTAAATTATGAGCCAAACGAGATCTAGTTTCACGTTACCCATCAACCGTTTCCATGTTTAAACACAAACTGGGATTGAGTATACCTAGAGCACCCTTCACCCGAAAACACGTCCACCTCTCATCCTCCTACCTCGTCATTCCCATCCCGGGGCCTCCAACTCCCATTCCTCCCCCAGCAGCGGCTCCATTGACCGGCTTAATGTGCTGTCCTGCCCCCGGTCCTGTCGCGGGTCCGCCGGGCATCACCGACCCCATCATCCCGGCTGCTCCCGGCTCACCGGGCTGCCCGCCGCCCTCCATGCTCGCTTCATTCCCCATCTCGGTCTCGGCTCCGGAGACGGGAGGGTGGTGGAGAAAGGTTTCAGGTCAAATCGGCGGTGTTGCTTTATATCTCTATGCTGTTGTTGTTTTAAATCATCGAAAAATGAATGGAAAAAAGGGGGTGAGAAATCTGTGGGAGCGAACTCAGCGTTGCTCCTCCATCACCGCCATCATCATCATCATCCTCGTCAGCTGCAGGACCAGTGGCTGCCTCCTGACGTGGTGACGGGAGCGCGCCGCGCGGCCACCATAACGATGATGGGAAATAACAGCGCGAGAGGCGAGAGAAAGCCCGATTAGATTAGATTAGATAAAAGTTAAATGAGCCTCGTGGGGAAATCTGGGTCGCAGCAGCTCAAAATTCAATTCAATTCAATTCAATGCGGATGCAATAAGCAGTGTGGAGTTAATTGGAGTGAAAGGTAAACCCTGACCTCCATGTGGCGTCCACCTTTCGAAAAATATATAAAAACAAATGGAGGGGGGGTGATCCAATTACATTTCTCAGAGAGGTATTCTTGGGTTATTTAAATCCTTAGCATTAACACACTGTTAATAACTCGATTACGATGTTTTCATTGTTATTTCAGTTGCCGATTCATGCCACTGAATAACAAAGATTAACGGATTTCCGGGTTATCATCCCTAAAGCTACAGCAGAAAGTTCAATGGAATTAACAATCAGCAATGAGACAAACAGCTACTTAAACAAAACATCACATGTAACAACATGAATGTCCAATTTTCAGTACGAAGCATTAATGACGTGAAATTGGATGTATTTGTCTTAAACTCATGTTTATGTTCACGTATTGTGGAATTAAGAAATATATATATCCAGATCATACAAAAACCATCCCTAAAATCGGGATTTTATCGTCCAACATGACTATAATTGAATTATGAAATATTTTGAAGTGCAGAAGCGCCAAACCATCCTCGGGCACGCGCTCTTTGGCTGAGAAGAGAAGTGGAGTCTGTAGGAAGAGATGAGAATACGTGCGCGCTCACACGACACTCTCACAGAAAAAAAAAAAAGAAGAGGAAGGGGGGAGTAAAGTGAACGCGGACAGGCGTCAGGATACACTGCACCGGCACATCACGTGTTCAATAACACTCCGTGGTGTTTCACACCTGCTGGATAGTTACGTATTTCCTCCTGGTAGTACACATCAGTGTTCCAGGAAATGTTTATTTGTTGAGTCTGACATAATAGAGGCAGACTACATCTAGAAAGGATAAGCCTGTGTTTTATAAAAGGTGAGTTGATGTAATGTAGAATAAATGTTTTTAATAAATCAAAGTAGGCTTATTAAAAACTAATTTTATATCTACCAAAGGATTTCATTAGACAATTAGAGGGAACATTGAATCTGTTCAAACCCCTTTTTTATATGTAATGTTTTATCTCTGTTATGGTTGTGGAAGCAGAAGTACCAGGGAATCAGGGGAAGGACCCAAATGCAGACTGCTGAGGTTGAGCTGGTTGCAGTTTAAGTTTTAACCCTTTGGTCAGGCAGACAGAATAAGGCTTGTAACATAGATCTCACATAGCAGATTAAAAATATACAGACACAGAGGCTACAGAGCTGAGACAAGTAGAATATGGAGGAAAAGTTCATGATGGAACAAGTTGCAATGAAAGAGTTAAACTGGGTATCTGCAGGACTGACAAAGAAAGGGAATAGGTTTGTAGATGGGAGAGGAGGTTAAGTCTGAGGGCATCTAGTGGAAAACTGGAGAAGAGCAGTAATGAAGAAAAAAGAAAAATATGAAAATGTGTAGTCAGGAAAATAGACTGTGACAGAGAGACTGACAAACTACACATCATGTCCTTGTGTTAGGCAAGTAAATCTGGAGGATTTACTATATTAACTTCTGTGTAGGTAAAAACTTTAATCAACTCTAATCACAAACGGGCACTGTCATGAGTTGTTCATGTTTAGTTATGTATTTTATTTATTTCATTGTCAAGACTTGAATTAGATGGGTTTTTTTCACATTCACCCTTTTGTTTCTGTATTCCTTGCGTATATCCTCCTTCTTTCTCCTGAGTTTAGTCTTGAGGGTTTTCTGCTTTATTTTGTAGATCTTGCACTTGGTGTTTCATGTCAAGTTGTACTTCCTGCCCTAATGTGTTTCTCTCCTCTTTGATTGCCCTCATCAGTTTCACCTGTGTCTCTTTTGTTTGATAGACTGGAGTGCATTTAGTCCTCTAAACTTTAGTGTCAGTTTGATGTCAGACTTTTCCCTGTAATTCCTATATTCCATTTTTGGTTTTCCTCATGGGTCTTTGGTATTTTTTTTCTTTTACCTGTTTGGTGTACTCATGAGTTTGAAACGTTTTGTTTCTTTAAGACTTCACTTCTCTGGATAACTTTTTTTATTGGCTCATCTTGTGTTTTTCCCTTTTCTCGACATTGTTGTTTTCCCTTTGAGTTTGTGTTTTTCCTGCTTGGACTTACAAGGTTTGTTTTCCTTTTAGCATTGAATAAATCTTTTCCTGCATTTGGGCCCTCGACTATTCACATTTCTGATCTACCTGACAGACACAAATAAGGGCCTTATGGCCAGTTTTGCGTGCAGGCTCCTTGTTTGGTTGACCTTTGCATGTCTGACAGCATGTTCTTCATTCAAGGGAAGCCTTTTTTAAAGATCCATTTTTTTTTGAGAGAGAGAGAGAGAGAGAGAGAGAGAGAGAGAGAGAGAGAGAGAGAGAGAGAGAGAGAGAGAGAGAGAGAGAGAGAGAGAGAGAGAGAGAGAGAGAGAGAGAGAGAGAAGAGAGAGAGAGAGAGAGAGAGAGAGAGAGAGAGAGAGAGAGAGAGAGGAGAGAGAGAGAGAGGAGAGAGAGAGAGAGAGAGAGAGAGAGAGAGAGAGGACCAAAACCGGGCAGCCCCTGGCCAGAGGACCCCAGCCCCACACGCACTAACCACTGTGCTACCAGCGCCCCGAGAAAGCTGAAGTTGTTAATTGTGAAAGACATCCAACAACTAGATAAACAGGCAAAAACTAACATACGGCACCATTCTTTAGAAACAACTTCAATTTTATCGCTGAAGTATTTCCATTTGTGCCAAGAGTAGCTGAAGTGTTTTCTTCAAATTCAAACACTATGAGCAGCATGTAGCCCTTGAGAGGCGGGAGCCTTTGTCTTTCTTTTTTTGTTTGGCTCAAAACTGTTCAGTATCAGTTAGAGCAGCCGTTTCTACAACAACAGCAAGCAAGGACAGAAAAACATTAACAACTGCAGCTAATTCTAACTGTAACTAAAGCATATTTACTAGAAAGGGAGAGTCTCACAGAGCTGTATCCCTCCTGAACAACAATACAATGAAAGTCGGTCAGATAACAGCCTCCTAGCAGCGTCTCCCGCCCTCAGCCCCTGGGAAAAGGTCCACTCTCTGTTCCATTGCCAAAGTGTCTACCTCTGAGGCCAGACTTTATAGAGATGAATAAACCCCGCCAGCCAACGTCAGTGCTGCATGTATACTGTGCAGCATCTCTCTGAGGAGAGAAGAGACAAAGTGGTGCTGCAGCTTCAAAAGATAGAGGGGAAAAAATCCTCCTCCTCTAAGCTTCTTTCACTTTTCACTTTCACGAATAATGCTATTATGTTTCATTTTCCTCTTTTAGTCACACTTCCTGATAGTTCAGGGCTGGAAACAGGCATGTCCTTGTTCCAATTTTGTAATGTCATGTAATTGTTTTTTGTCGTAATAAGACTTTTCAACAAGGATGCACCAGCAAACAACTGAAAGAGAGGGGGAAGTCCTCTCAACAGTTTTTTTAAACAGCATCATCAAGAAAGATTACAGAAATGTCCTCCTCTACAGATTTGGGGTAACATCAAGTGGGTTTATTGCTCTTCACAGTTACATAACTGTACTTAAAGGCATCAGGAATTCTGTATATAAACAGAAGTCCAAAGTCAAACAAGAGCTACAAAAGTATGGGACATGCACATAACAGAAGCAGCTCTGCCTGATACATTTAATGCACTCTCTAGACAGGCTCGAAGAGAGCAGGAAATTGACAAAATATAGGCTGTGAATACCTTGAAGGAAGAGAACAAAGCTCTCCGCTGACAGATTACAGAGTTAAAGAGAGAAATGAGACACTTAAATGTAACACTGCTGAGTTCATTCAAAGCAATGCAAATGGAAAGTGAGCACTCCCCAGGGACAGCACAACTGAGTGGCAAACTTAGTCAGATTTTGGCTTAGAATCAGCATGCATAAAATTACTCTTTACTCTCCATACTATGAATTGCACTGAGCTATTTACATATGCTTCCTAGATCAAAGCTGCACTTTAACAAAGTGCTGCAGCTGGCTTCAACACCAATTTTTTTTGCTCTGCCATCTTTTGCTGTGTATGCTTTTTTTTTAAATGGTACAGATTTTCAATTTAAAAACAAAAGAATCTTGAGATAATGTGTGTATCCGAGTATTTAGATTACTGTAAATGCACATCCCTTATATCTTCATGGAAGTGCAGATAACAATTGGTTCTATATCAAAAATTTCAATGAGCAAAAAATCTGCTTGATGCTGTGACGCAAAAGCCAATCAGTGTTTAGATTTCCTGACTTCCTAGAATGCATCGCAACTGATTGATCTGAACCCCATTCAAGAAAAAAGAAGATGGATTTGTCTGTCCCAACAGTGACATTAATTCTCATTTGACAAAACTTAGACAAACATAACTTACATTAAAAAAACACATTAAAAACACAACACTGAGTACAGACATTAAAATGGGACTGTAAAAAACAACAGCTGATAAAGCCAGGTAATGTTGAGTGTCTATGTTTTATTGCTCAGGGTGATTATTGCAGTGGGAATGAAGGATTTTTATGTTGATGTGTTTCTGGGCCAGTGGGAATTTTACAAATCTGCATTTTTATTTTTATTTTCATACTTAATTAATCCCATGACAGGTAATTACTTTGACACTCTGTTATTGAGACATTGCTATACACACATAGGCTAAAATACACAAACAGGATCCTATGGACATGCACTGAGGGAGAGATGTCATAGTGAGGGGGCTGCACATGAAAGATCACCCTAGCTGTAGGGGGTTTGTTACCTCGCTCAAGGGTGACCTGGCACCTCTCCAGCTACCAGGCCAACTTCCATACTGAACCGGTGA